GCGCCGACCGCCGCTCGCGCTCGCTGCAGGAGCGACCTTGCAGGCCTCTCTGAGCACAGCGTGAACTGGATTAAGTGATCAGTGCACTCGATCCCAAAGAGCAGAAGTGCAACTGGCCTTGGTGGTCTCGCGTGCGGCATGACAGAGCTTCGACTGCTCTACGCGCGCTCTGACCGTGGTCGCTGCTCTGGTCCCGACCCTATCCCGGTGCATGTATGGTCCATGCACGGGCGTTCAGTGAGCGCGAGCGGCAGGCCGGCGCTTCGCGCCGCCCCACCGCTCGCGCATATTCATCTTCGCTGACTTCTTGAGAGGTTGCCTAAGCCTTCGAGGGTCGATGGTCTTTCCAAGTCATTATATACGTGTCTTCAGGGTGCTTCCTGGGGTGCGCGAGCGTCGGCCGGCGCTTCGCGCCGCCCGCCGCTCGCGCATATTCATCTACGCCGACACTGCGCGTCGCCCATATCATCATAATTCACAGTTTGGTGCCTTTCTACGTAGAGCGAGCAGAATACCTTCAGGATGCGAGCAAAACGAGCGATGAAAATGTCATGTGAGCGCGTCGCTCAATATCAAACGATGTGTCAAGCTCGAGATCTCAAACGTCCCGATGCTGGGGGGTGTTACCATAAAAGGCAAGCACTGGGTCCTCCCAAAAAGGCAAGTACTGGGTCGTGAGAGCGAGCTGAGGGCGCGACTTCTCGAGGTTAGTGTCAGCCGTCTTTTTGACGCACGCCTCTTGCTACGAACCTGAAATGGTGGAGCACATGCCATACGTCTTCAGAGCCGTTCTAGGCCGACACCGCGCACCTCATACCGTCCGCCTCCACACGCTAGAAACCGAGTTACCTGACGGAACAGGGCGATTACAGATGATGACCGTGGACACCTGGGACGAAGCGAGCGCCGCACGCCACTCGTTGCATGATACAGCGCCCAACACCTCTGTAAGCGCCCAATGGCTCTTGCACGATAGGCGTCTCGCCGCGAGTCCGTTTGAGGGCGTCTGTTTCGACAAAATGGTCAACTTGACCATACTGGGCGGGTTCACCCAGCCGTCATCGTGGCGAAATTGTTTTAGGTCTTTGACACCATGCGTCGAGCGCGTGGAAACAAGCCTTTGGGGATCGGCAGAAGGCTTGCTGAAAGCGCTTGTAGAAGGAGGTGCTAGCGCGCTACTGCGCACGACTACGACAGGAGCAGAGCTGCAGCGCAAAGAGAACTCTTCCACGGCCCCCCCAACCCTGTTCCCCAGACTTAAGACGCTGTGCCTCGCGAGAGCTATGTTATACGATGAACACGACACAGAAGAAGTGAATACGCAAGGATCAGCCATCAGCAGTTACCTAGCGGAACGCGCGCGCGTTCATACCCCTTTGCCCACGCTTCAGCTTCCCAAAGCATTCAGGCGGTGCGCATGCTTGGAACAGATCCGAGCCACCGTTGGCGAGATCATCTTCTTGTAGACGACACGTGTATCGAGCATTTATAGACACATAGTATATGATACAATTTCATAATGCAATATGGTACAGATATGGTTGTCTTTAGTGACAATTGTATGCAGGATAGCATGCAAGTTATGAACGATGATAGCGAACAAAGAAGACCAGCTTTGATGGGGTATAAAGGGATGTTGGGTATAGTAAGAGTGTTGTAGCATCAACGGGTATAGACTAAGGGTTTGTCGGAGAAGTACCCCTCGTCCGAGTCCGAGTTACAACCGACCAGCGGCGCACTAGGCACAGACGATGTAGCAGTAGGCGTCTTCATATCCTCTTCCTCTTCTTCGTACGGCGGCGGAACAGGCTTGCAAGTAAAGTAGTCGACGCCAGAGTGGCGGGTAAAGTATTTGGCGGTGGGCGTCTTGTCGTCTAGGGCCTTAGGCGTCGGCGTATCAGATGAGAACGAGGTGGTGATGGGTGTGACGCTGGTCGTAGCCTGAGCCTTCTCCATAGCGAGCTTCAAGCCGTCTTTGCCGTGGAAAGCGAGGATGAAGCCGGCGGCGCGTTCGTGGCGGAGGCGCGCAGCGCGCTCCTTGAGGAGAGGACGGTAGTCGGTTTGGTCGGGCGAGAGACCGTGCGCCTGGATGATGGGCTTGCCGCGGGCTTGGTGTTTGTAGAAGGTGTGGATCAAGCCGGGAACGGTGCCCCAGCTATCATAGGTGATGCGCATGAGCATGCCCTTGTACTCTGCACCAGGCAGAAGCGCTCCGGCGACGCGCTCGGTCCACTCATCGCGGCGCGGGCGGTCCTCCCGGATGTTGTAGGGCGAGTTGGGGTCGCGCTGGACGACGCGGAAGTTGGTGATGATGCAGTAGTCGAACTCGTCTTCAGCATACTTGGACGCTTCGTGAGGAGGGAGCTCGGTGATGACCGTCGCGTACCCGCGCGAGGAGAAGTAGTCGTTGAGCGCGTCGTCAACGTCGTGCCTATCGAGGTAGCGCTTGGGGATGCCCTTCTCGATGGCGAGATCGTAGGCTTCGTCGTAGCTCAGGCCCAGCCCGAGAACGTGGATGCGGGTGTTGGAGGTGGAGTTCATGGTTGGTAGAAAGCGAATGTGGTAGAAGGCGGCTGAGAGTGGGTTGTGCGAGTGGATAGAAGTTATTGATGGGTATCTGTAGTCGAGCTCAATGCTCTTCTTATACTCGGTTAGCGAGGGGTTAGTTGAGGCGCGTATCCGCGAGACAGCGTCCCGAAACACGGATAATAGGGGCGCCTCCGAAACCGACTCCCGGGCCACACCTGCGTACCTATGCGTTATGTCCAAGAGGGGATGTGCAAGGCAGCTCTACGCCATGTCGCAATTAGATATAGTGGGCTGTCTGAGGTCGCAGCTCAGTTAGACAGTACGAAGAGGAGCGAACAATGAATACGCAATGTCCAAAAAGCATCGATATGACAAAATCAACGTTCAAAGCATTTGTCTCGGAAGAGCCCCCTGAGCGTACACCCCTCCGCTCACTGCAGAGAGGTATTGCGGAAAAGCCGTGATATGCTGACAAGCCACACAAATTCATATCCAGGCTAGAGGTGCGCTTCGATATCGGTACGGTACGACTGAGCAAGGCGGAATCGTCATTCATGGTCATGGTGGTGAGAGGCAAAGATCGCCGCGCTCGCACAAGCGCTGATTCTACACGCGCCCACATCTGTACAAACGCCATCAACGGCGAGAAAAATGTCCATTAGAGTACTAATACAGCGATAAATAGGTCCAGGGAGTCAGCGTAGTAAGGATGTGGAGGAGCCTCATGAGTGCGAGAAGTAGGCACCGAGAAAGGGAGAGAGAAAGGACATGAACGACGAGAACCGACAGGAACGAGAGCTGTGGACGAATGCGACTGGGCGTTACTGTTATTGCTGTATGTGTATGTGTAAGGCATGTAATGTTGTACGTATATGTAGCCGATAAACCGAGACCGAGACGAGCTGATTGCTGTGCGACGAAGACGAAAACGAGACCTGCGAATGCGAGTGCGACAAAACGAACTGAAAACCTAAGCCTCTACATCCCTCTTCCTCTTCCCCTCCCTAACACTCTCCTTCTCCCCAGTCTCACAAGCCACACACTTCTCCTTCTCCCCCACACACCCCGCGTGATACATATGACCGCATCCCTGCACACCCCCCAACGCGCCCCCATCCCCGCCCTCCGGCCTCTCATCGCTCGGCGCATACACACACACCGGCATATCGCACCGCGCGCCTCTCGCGCGTTCGCTCGCCTCGACGCGTTGGCGCAGCGTCAAACCCGGCGGAGGCGGCGGCGCCCATTTCCTCCTCGGCGCTGATGCCGACGAAGCGGGCGCGGGGCGCGGAGGGATTCTCGGTGCGCCGGGCGCATCGCGCGGATTGGCCTCTCCTTCTTGCACCTGAGCCTGCGCCTGCGCCTGAGCTTGAGAGGGCTGAGCGGGCTGAGCGGCTCCGGGCGGCACGCTCCTCGCCCGCCTCGGCAACGGCGCAACAGGCCTCGCACCCTCCCCATCGCCCCGTACAACCTCCACACCCACACCGCCGCCCATCATCATCCCCATCAAATCCCTTAACACCAAGTCCTGCAGCACCCTCGGCATCCCCGCCGCTCCACCACCATTCACAGGCTGAGGTTGAGGAGCAGGTCCGAACGAGAACGGGTTGGGCGCGCCGGGCGCGGGGCCGAATGTGAACGTGTTGTTGTTCGTTGGGTTGGCGGCGGGGGCGGGGGCGGGAGCGGGTGTAACTGACACTAGCTGTGGACGGGGCGCACGACCGGATGGGGCTACGGGGTTGAAGACGGACGCATCTGTCGTGACGCCCGGACCGAATGGTAGTGAATTCGGCGCGGCAGTAGCAGCAGTTGCGGCATGTCCCGGCGGCGGCGCGGGTCCAAAGACCGGCTGCTGAGCCTGATTCAGATTCTGAGGCTGGGGCGCCGCGGGATGGGCGAGCGCCTGCGGCGTGATCATCACGATCCCGCCAAACGCGCGCCCGCCCGGGCCCGTGAGCGGCGTGAACGACAAGCCCGCGCGGTTGTACTGCATCCCGAGGCCCGGGTGCGCGCGCGTGGAGGCGCGGGCGGTGGGCTGTGCGGGGGTCGCGACGGGTGCGGGCGTCGTCAGCGGGAACGGCAGCGCGGCGATCGGGAGGTTGCTGGGGCGCGCCGAGGGAGCGGACGGGCCGGCGGCGGGGGCGGCGGTGGGCGGCTCGGTGCTGATTCTCACGGGCGTGCTCGGTCCGCTGGGATTGATCCTCACGACGCTCGGCACGCTCCCGCTGGCTACCCTCCCCGTGCGCGCACGAGCCGGCGAGTCCGTGCGACGCGGCTGGGCCTGTTCGGCGCTCGTGGCTTGCGTGTCGGCAGCTAGAGCGAGAGTACCGTCTGGCGCGAGGTGCACGCCGTCGGCCGATACCGTTGAACCGCCGGCGGCCGGCGTGGGCGGTGGTACAGTGGCGCTGGCCGAAGCAGATGGAGGTGCGGAGCTTCCTGCCGTGGCAGGCGCGGACGCAGAAGCGGGCGGCGAACCAGGCGGGGTCGTCGACGCGCCTTGTGGGTGGTGTGCCGCCATATGCGCCTGTACCATAGCCCTCGCGATTCCTCCGAGCAATCCGTCCAAGAGCACATCACCCATGTGCGCATCCACGTCCATCTCGCCTTCTCCACCAGTACCTTCTGCGCCAGCCGTCGCCGCACCAGGGGTAGTTTGAGTCGTCGGCTGAGGAGGATGAGGTTGGAGCTGGGGATGCAGAGCGTACGGCCGCCCGCCGCCGTGGGGAACTACAATGTCGACAAAGGTGAAGCCCGGCGGGGGCGGGGGCGGCGTCTGGCCGGGTGCGAGGGAGTACATCTGAATGCGCGAGAGCGGGTTCGCGGGCTGTGGCGTCGGCTGAGGCTGCGTCGCGGGCGCGGGTTGTTGAGCCGCAGATGTCGGCACGGGCTGGGGTTGTGCGGCAGGCGCCGTCGATGTACCAGCCACAGCCGATGCGGGCGGGTGCTCGTGATGATCCTGGTGAACGGCCATCCCTCCTTCGATCCCCCTCTGCAAGAGGTCCGCAAACTGCCTCGCGAAAAGCGACATGAGCGGTCCCGCCCCGGGCTGCGTCGGTCCTCCCTCTCCAGCCGACTGAGCCGAGGGCCCAGCGACAGGCTCCGACGCTGAACCCAGCATCGCCGCCAGCAACTCTGGCGGGACCGCCCTCATGCTCTCGTCCAGCACTCTGGCCCTCTCATCGAAATCCCTCTGCCGCTGCCTCAGCTCCTCCGGCACGTCATCTCCCATCTGCGCCGCAATGGCCGCGGCCGCATCGCGGTGCTCTTGTGCTTGCGCGCGGAAAGCGCGCGCTTGGGCTTGGAGCGTTCCGGCGTGGACGCGACGGGCGTGGGCTGTGAGGAGGGCTTGGGCTGCGGGGGAGAGTGCCGGGTTCGTGGTGGGTGGCGCGGCGGTCGTAGTGGTTGTGGGAGGCGTGGGTGTGGAGGCTGCTGGTTGACCCTCGCCGCGCTGGACCTGGCTACTCGCCCTCCTCCGTGCTAGAACTCCTTCAATATGCGGCCTCAGATGGGGTGGCACCGCGAGCAACATGCGCTCAAGTGTGGCGGTAGGCAACCTCTCCAGTGCCGCAGGCGGCGGAGGCCCGGCATTCGTAGCAACGGCCGCAGGCGGTGCATCTCTCCTACGAATGGTAGTGACAAACGTATTGAAGCCGTCTTCCACTCCCGTATGTACCCGTTGCAACGGCGGCAGGCCACCGAACAGATGATTGAAGATGTGGCTAGCTGCGGCCTGTCCTTCTGCTGCGGGAGGGATGGAGAGCGTGAGCGAGTCGGGGTCGAGGTCGAAGCGGCAGTTGGGGCATGTTGTTTGGCGTGCGAGCCAGGGTGTCAGGCAGGCGGTGTGGAAGACGTGCGCGCAGGGGAGGGCGACGACCCGTGGGAGAGGCGGCTCGGGTGTCGCGGGTGTCGAGCTCGATGGCTCGGACGGCATAGGCGCGTCTGACGTCGCATTTGTTGACTCCGGCGCCGCGTTCTCCGATGCCGGCGCATCCTGCCCGAATAAGGCATCGTCCTCCAATGACTCCATGCAGACGGCACAAGTCCCCTCCTCGGCCCTGATCAGCCTCTTGACCATCCCATCACTAACAGCCTCGAGTCCCCTGACAATTGTTCGTGCCCTCTCTGGATCCTCGCGCTCTCCGCCGTGTCCGGCCATAAGACCGAATAAGGCTTGCAAGAGCGTGCGAGGATCTGGGCGCTCGTTGCCGTGGGTGTGGTTGTGGTTGTGGGCGTCGTTGGCGGCGGGGTTGCCAAAGTCGCCGGGCGTGATGATGATGGGTACCCCATTTGAATGATTCGTAGGATTAGGGTTCGCAGGATGAGGAGGCGGAGCGGGTACGAGGGGAAGCTGGAATGTAAAGTCCATGGAAATGGTCACAGGCGCGTCGGGCCCCGTCCCCCCGTTCCTCAGCGCGTCCTCAAACATCTGCCTGATCCCCGGCAACCTCGCATCCTGTCCCGCCTCTGCCGCCGGCTGTTGCGGCGGCGGGATCGTGTTGCTCGCTAGCATATATGTGTCAGTATTAAAGGGACATTGGTGTGTGAGAAAGGGGGTGGCGTACGTTCGGCTTGTGCTTGGGGTCGAGGAGAGGGAGGCGCAGAGTCGTCGTCGTCGACGGCCATGAGCTCCTGCACGACCTGCATCTCCTCTTCGTCGCTCGCGTCCACCAGTTCCGGCATCGCGTCCTCCTTCACGACCACATGACCATCAGCGTTTACACGGCCTACAGCGGCCGATCTCACCTCCTCAATATCGATATCCGTCGGATTTGAGTTTGAGTCGGGCATTGGTGGTGGTGAGAGATCAAGGGGGAGGTGGTCGTTCGGGACGACGAGCGGAGGAGGGTGGGTGGGCCACTCGCCGAGCATGACGCGCCGCGATCCTTCCCGAACCATCATCCCGGCCCGAGCGTGCCGGAAAGCGTTCTGGACCCCGCCTTTGTTCTGCGCCCTGCGCCCGACCACCACCATCGCCTATTTCTCTCTCTATGCACTCTGCTTCGCTATTCAAATGCGCGATTGATGAAGAGTGAGCTGTGTCGCGATCGCATAGTGATAGACGCTCATCTCACCCTGCACCGCCGTCGGGCGCCACAGCTATTCGTCTCTCGCAGATCCCTCGACCTCCCACTGTGCGCGGTGAACACGCATGACAAACGGTGGGAGTAGTACGGATATTCGAGTGGGATGTCTACCATCGGCCGTACGGGGACGGATCGTGATCGGAATTAGGACACGACCCAGCCGTATACGATGGGCAGTGAGAGTGGCCCAGACACGCTACATGTCCCCCAGAGAGGCCCGATTTCGGTATCCGTGCGGGAGGGATGTGAAGTCATTACTTGCAGGAGTGGCCGTGTATCGTTGGACAGCGGATGGTGCGATCGCGCGGCGATCTGCACTTACATCCGCCTCGGGCGCGGTACACATGCACGACATGTTTTGAATATCTGTGCTCGCCATGACCCTCTCTCGATCCTCGAGCCTCGCCGCGTCCCTCGATGTACGCTCGCGTTCATGCGCCGGGCTTCGTACATCGTCGGCCCGCGAGTGGGGATCTTGGATCTAGAGAGTCGTTGCTGGCACCAAACATCAGGACGAGAAGCGCTACGCGCGCTGTCGCGTCGACTAGCCTCGGGCGTCGGAAGCCGGATCTACAGCCCCATCGCGTTCAGCGATCATCATGATTGTGCTCGCTTTGGCGTAGCTGTCGGTCCGGCCTGAAGCTCGCGAGGCTTGTCGTGTCACAGTGTTTACGTTCTGTGTCGCTGTTGATTCAATCGGGGATGGACAATGGATGGACAGTCCGTTGGTATGGGCGGAGTATAGTGCCTTGGGATTCACTCGCATTGTACCTCCCGGATTGTCGGAGGGCCTTTGGTTCTGCACTGGTGAATGTACTTACTGAGTACATACCCTCGCAAGACCTAGGATTTTCCGCAGCCTGGGGGTTCATGTTCCGAGCGATTCTTCAGACAGCTACGAGTGTGACAAGGGTTTGGCAGGTGTTCTTGCAGTTGCACGCCGCATCTAGAGAAAGGAGACGCGCGGATGGAGAATCGCGATGTGCGGTGGCGATATGCAACGTTGCGATGCTGGGGCTAACCGGTGGTGACGGACGTACGGTAGCAGGGGATCTCGATACATGCCATTGTACTTTATATTGCACGTGCGGAACATTTATAGAGCTCAATCGCCTCCATGGTTAGCTGGTCGATGTATTCACTGAGAAAGATTTTATGAGTGCATCGCATCTTTGAACGAAGGTACACTCTAAGTCTGGAGACTACACCGTCAGAGTGAAGGGCTCAATGTATCGCAACGGATACGCGACGGGCATGATCGGCCCGAGTGATGCGACTTGCCTCCTCCCACCACTTCGTACCGACGCGATATTTACTCGAATCTCATACTACCGCGTAAACCGACGTACTCCAGACCGAGAAATTGTTATCTGGCGTTCGCTATGGTGACCGTTGTATGACCTCCGAAACCTTGCATCCAGATAGGGGCAGAATGAAAGACGCCAACGAGTGTCAAGTGCACTGGCCAGCCGCCGAGGTGTAACGTCGGCAGAAGCTCGACAGAAACTTCATTATCATGACGACGTTGAACAGATTACAGTAACGCCTGAGCGAAACGTGTGTAGACGCTGTACTGCAGCGTCTTTGACCTTTGTCTCGCAGAAATGCGTGTTGCCCCTAAACACACACCCCATGAACCACAAACCACAACGACCCGCCCCTAACCGCCCAGGTCCATTGTCTCGCGGAAGCCCAACAGGAGCGCACGCCTATCCGACACAAACCACGCCCACGGCTATATAACGCGCGCCTCGTGCAACCCTACACCCTCGCCCTCCAGCTCTACCCCACACGCGTCACATCCATCCATATCATCCACACCCTCGCTGGACGGGCCTACCTCTGCCTACTACCAACCACCAACCACCCGTGCTACCCACCAACCTACACCAACATGAACCCCATCTCCGTCCGCATCCACGTTCTCGGGCTGGGCCTGAGCTACGACGACGCGTACACTCTCGCGCGCACCAAGGGCGTCCCTGAGCGGTACCTGGACACCCACGACGTCGACGACGCGCTCAACGCCTACTTCACTCGCCGCGGGCACGCTACTGCATGCATGGAGCTCCTCCCGCACGAACGTCCGGCCGGCACGGACTTCGAGTACTGCATCATCACCAACTTCCGCGTCGTCTCGCGCCACCATCAGTCCAAGTGGAATATCCGCGAAGAGCGCCCGTGCGCGGACGAGTGGACTGCGCGCGTGAGCGAGGCTTTGCTGCCTGGTGCAGACTATCAGAGCATGCTCATGCGCATGACGCTCGAGGACTGGGGAGCCGGTAAGCATCTTCCTCCCATTCCAAGTCGATCTCGGGCGCTGACGTCGAATCTGTAGCCCCCGCCTTCATCGAGCGCTTCTACAAGCACCAATCCAGCGGCAAACACATGATCCAGTCTTCCAACCTCTCGCCCGACCAGACCGATTACCGCCCCATCATCAAGGAGCGCGCTGCGCGCGTCCGTCTGCAGAACTCAAACAAGCAACTCGCCGCCCCGATACCCGCAATGACCTCGATAATACCCGCCTCGCCTGCTACGATACCCCGCCGTTCCGTCACTCGACCCAAGCTTCGGATCCAGATTGAAATCGCAAACGCCGAGTCGACCGCTCCGCTGGATGGATGCGGGTCTGATGAGGGATACTATTCGGATATGATCGTTCGCGACCAACTTGTCTGCTAAACTCCATTCTCCTGCGTAATCTATTTCTTCTTTTCTTTGGGCTCCGATTGCTGTTTGCGCCATCATTTTGCTATCCATTCATACTTGATTCGTATATTCTGCATCCCGCGTCTCAACCAAGCTTTTCCTGCTTTATTTGCTTTACTTCTTGCTCTACCTCTTGCTCTGTACTTGCGCTCTCCCCTGAGCATCTCGCACAATCGTGTTTCTGCATGCCGATACTGCTATTCAAATCTGCTCTTCATTCAATTCTCGAGAGAATCGCCATATGCATCACAGTGCCAGCAACGGGCGCGAACAAGGCGCGAAAGTCTGGTAACGATAAAGTATGTCGTCTGGCGCGCTCGGCTGTGCATATCCGTATCCCGGAGGTCTAGTACCGCTCTCTTTGACAGGAACAGAAGAGCGATCGCATCCCATGAAGAGTGCTGGCTTCGACCACAAACCGGAGGTTCAACCGAAGCTCGCCCGAGGATCGTGTGAAAGGTCATCTGACCGTGTTTACTGTCTTGACGCGCGCGTCTTGCGCGCTCTTGCGCGGACTTGACCCTCACCTTTGCACACCCGTCGACTACAGTTTCTCCATCCTCCTCGTAGAGCTTCCGGACAGTGGCGCCAAGATGCAGCACGGACTCCCTGTACCCCCTGGATTTGTCCAAGCGTCTTTGACAGAGGAACACTACCGCGAGTTCACCAGGTAGGCGCGTCTCCCAATAATGGTTCCCTGGCGCCTGAACATCCGTCGCTGAGGGTACCCTCACAGAGAATATTGGCTCAGCACAGTACAAGCGCGCCTACCTGTCGTCGGCAACATGATTCCGCGCGTGAGCGTCGTTGACGACCACATCTACGGTCTTGAGCATGCACTCTCCTTCGCCAAACACGTCCGCAATCTCGCCCAACCGTCTATGAAGCTTCCAGTGGAATTGCTGGCCATTATATTTCAGCACCTTGCGGATGACTGGCCGCCTTTGGGCTTCCAATTAAATACACCACAGGAACCGCCCCAGGAGCCCCGAACGTCCTTCGTGTACCACCTGAACTGGATATCTGCGGCCCTCCACGTCTGCCACCCGTGGAGAAATGTACGTTTCCGGTTCGCGTACTGAGGAAAGCTTGCACGATGAAGAAACTGACTATACCCGTCACAGAATCTACTCCAATGCTCGTCATTGTGGTCAACGGTGGATACTTTAGCCACCCCTCCGCAACTGGCACCGTGGTTCATCGGCCTCAGCCGCAGTGCCCCTCTCCGTCTCCGCACGGAGCTGTCACGGCCGGAGCGGAAGGTCAACAACTTCGAGATCCTACGCTCTGTTCTTGTTCCGCCACAAATTCACCGACTATATGCACTCGACCTGGAGTTGTGCGACATATCGATCGTTCCCGCCCTCACCACCGCTATCCTGCCGACGCAAATGCCGGCGCTCACATATTTCAACCTCAGTCTTGCGGAAGACTTGATACCGGCGAAGGAGGACATCATCTACATACCCGTAGCCTGGCTCGCCAGATGCTTCCCCAACCTCCGCGAGCTTCATCTTAAGCAATGCGCCTTAACATGGCCAGCATCCGGAGAAGCCGTCACCCTCCCTCACCTTGTACTCTTCCGTTACATCATCGAAGATGCTGGCCGCTACGTCTCACCCAAATCCACAATCTCGCTCGACCAAATGCACGCGTTCTGGAGCTCGATGCGTCATCTCGAAACCGTGCAGATGACCTCACCCGCACCATTCGTACGGTGTCCTTCAACGCCCTCGAATGAACAGCTATATACAATGCATTCCGAGCCTACGATAGACTTGCCCAATACGCTCAAGTACTTCGGCCTAAGCTCGCCTGTCGCCTCTATCGCTCCGCTTGCATCGATGCTGCGTATGCCGAATCACGCCCGCGTCGAACTCAGCGCTTTCACTATTGACGACTACTCCGCCCTACCATTAAGGCGGTTCTGTGGTCCAGACCATCCACCTCATACATTGATGTTCTCACTCTCCACCGACGAACCCGATCCGTACTCCCCCAAGGAATGGGAAGCCCTCATCTCCGCCTGGGACACGTCGCCCGACTCGACAAGCTGGACGAGCACGTCGGCGGACGAGCCTTCGTTGAACGTGATCGGCGATTGGTCAGGCTATCGCATACAAACGACGAACCCTCTCTCCGAGATCGACCTATCCCAGCTCCGATTACTGGTCCTCGCCGGCGAGAATCGCATGAAGGTCTGCGACCCTGTGGTATCGGAGGCATTCTATCGCAAGGCTACAAAGCTGCAACGGCTGGAGGTCGCAGACTGGAAAGTCGCGGTCGACTTCTTCGGCGCTCTCGTGCCCAAGGTGGGCGGCGACATCGAGCCTTTGTTCCCTCAACTCGAGGATATATGTGTGGGGATATCGTCGGAGGTTAGCGAGAAACAGGGACATGAGCGAGAGGATGCGCTCGGTATCCCGAGCTCGAATGACCTACTTCGTGTGGTTTCTTGCATAGCAGCACGAGCCGCTCGTGGGTGCCCAATCCGCCGACTGTATCTTCCCTCTAATCTGGAGGACACAGGCGACTGGATCGACCGCATCAAGGAGACCGGGGTGCCCGTCGAGTTCGTAGAATAAGCTCTTGTTGACGGGTTGCTTGACTGTTTGTGATCCATTGTACATACGTTTCGTATCGTCATTCGTGCTTTGAACTTGTTCTGTTACTCATACAATGTTCCGCTAATTCTGCTCTTGCTACTGTACCCCGAACCACACATACTCTGTGACTCTGCTTAATTGTCATGATGTTGTCATTTCCCTTGCCTGATTGCGCCTGAACGTTGAGATCTTCATGACGGGCGACAAGCCCCTTTACGACAAGGGCTCGCGCGGCCTTGCTCTGACAGTCCTCAAATACTCCTCTTCATCCTCGAGCGCAAACGGCAGAGGTCGCGAGAGCGGCTCGAACGACTCGACGCCGTGCTGCTTCATCAGAGCGATGCGAGCCCGTGTGGCCGCGCGGGTCGTGTTGATGCTGTACACCTTCAGGCGGTGGGCGGATGAAGTGACGTGCAGATCCCAACTATGTCGCAATCAGTGAACCACTCATGATAAGGTGAGGTTACGATACATACTTCCACGCTGAACGTACGAACGTCGGCTGCGTATTGTTCGCCGAGTCCCAAGCGCGTACAGTCAGTTCGATCCACCCTTCAGCCTCGACGGGAAGCTGTATGCTCCAGAGGCGCCATGCGTGGTAGTGCTTCTCCGTCATGTCGTCTTGGTCCGCCTCGTACCAGGTGTGGCCGCTAAATAGGCGTGAGTCGTTCTCATCTGTGGAGGAATGCTTTGAACGTACCCATCAGAGGAAACTTCCACGCGCTCGATCCAGTGCGCATCACCGCTGTACGACCACCCCTTTACATCGATCGACCCCGAATGAACGATAAGTTGTCGTTCTTGAGGGAAGATGATCGCGCTCCTGCATACGCCTATTAGTGCCTCGTCATCGGCTCTGTACGAAGGAGACGTACGAGACGGGCATGGCTTGTATGCTGAAGCCATTTGAGTATGCGGCGTTCTGCTTGCCGGTCTGGAAGGAGTAGTATAAGTACTCTTGGCGTTGCACCGGACCCATGCTCGGCTCAGGCTGTGCCACGATACGGGTGACCCACTTGCAGCTAGAGCAGCATTCAGTCCAATTAAATCCTAGGAGTGAGTCGAGGGCACCGAGTCCAGCGCACCTACGCGCGCCAATGTAGCCCGTGACGACGAGTCGTAGAGGGTAGCCGTGTATCTTGGGTAGCGGCGCCCCGTTCATCTCCCAAGCCAAGATGACCTCTTCGCCACCTTGAGCACGGACTTTGCGCAAGGGTACGGATACCGCATAGTTGAAGACGTCTCCCTGTTCAGCTCGGCTTAGGACTCATGCATGAGCGGACAGTAACGATGGGATATGCACACACTTTCTTGAAGTAGGTGTCTGCACCGATGAATTCGAGGTGGGCGCACTCAGGGAGGACACCACCGCATGCACTCTTGAGAACCTTCTTGAGCGGTACACCGCGGTAGACGGCAGTTCCGCTGAAGCACGAAGTTAGCGAGACTGACAGATGACCCCACGAAGATAGGGATGCATACATCGCTCCCTCGCCCCAAGGCGCATTAATGAGCTCATCGCCGTCACCTGGGTACTGAGAGATCTGCTCGATACGACGCGTACCACTACACTGGAGCGTAACGGTAACCTCGACCTGTCTGCATGTGGCAATGAGACACGGTCATGACGGGCGAGAACGAGTCATACGCACGGGAACTTGCTTGGGTCTTGGAGATCTGCCAGAGAGATCGTCGCTGGTTTGCCGACGAAGCCGCCAATTTCAAGTTCGTACGCGCTCGCGTCAATATCCGGCACGCCACCATGGTTTCTGACACTGTATAGCGACGTCAGTAAGTGGTCATATACACATAGAAGGCGGAATAGGCCTACAAGTGTTGTAGGTTATCTGTTATCTTTCCCTTCATCAGGTCCTCGCGCCGGGTTTCTCCATTGTAAGGACTGTCAGCAGAGAGTGGTCAGGCGTACTCATCTGAGGAGCTTCGTGAACGCACAAGTCCAACACGTGAATCATATCGGGCTTCTCTTTTCCCACCGTCTCCCAGGAGAAGTCTGGGATTGCGCCCAATCCAAGCGCCTTATGATAGTCCTTCCATCTATGACCGATGAGGATGGGGTTCGTGGAGGGAAGAGCGTCGACCTGAAACTCTACCAGCTGTAAGCCTGCGTTCGAAAGCCGCATACGACTAGACAAACTTACCTGGGGGAGATGGGAACTTGTGCGTGGCGAGAAGCTCGCGCGCGAGGGCTTTGCGCTCTGGATAGCGTTCCCACTCGATGTACCCGCGCCAGCCGGGCTTCTCTTCTGGGAAGAGACCACTGAGAGATGAAGGGACTGGGCTCTTCAAGAGGGAAGGGCTTGAAGGTGGGCTGAAGGTATAAGAAGACTGGCGCCCGTTTGGAGGGAGTTCGCTGTTCGCCATGAAGGGATCGAGAACTTGTACGCGGAAGCACTTTATCGCCTCGAGCGACTTAAGTACTCAGTACGGCGCGCAGAAGACGACTATCAATGCTCAGTGGAACTTCTCAGTGTGGATATTGGCAGCCCACGCTCACCGCATAACCACGTCTGCCGCTCCAGCCCGCATCTAACCTTATCTCACTGGGCAAATGAGAGCATGAAGTTCTTGGTGGGACGATCCGTTCTTATCGGCTCCTCAGGAGAGCGGCAGAGCACGGCTGCGTGTTCACCGCACCCTGAAGTATGTAGGAAGGGATACCCGGAAGATGTTGAGCGCCCGGGTGCCCAGGCCAACGCGCGCGGCTCAGCGTTTCCGCGCTCATCGTAAGGACCAACAGCGCGTCCATCGATATAGACGTTAGACCGTTGAGCCGTACTACACACATCACACTGGTATGTCTCGAAAGAACGTTCAAGTATAGAAACTTCGGGCAAACAATGGCGACAAGCTTGAGAAGATGGGCGTCACGAACGAAGTTGGGCAGAGGCGTGACCGCCATTCGGCCATTCGGCCCGATGGAGCCTAGGCCTGAAGCACGACGGACGCGTGTTGGTCGCGCCGCTCGCGTACGTTGGGTCGTTGGGCTATTGCTCTTGAACTCCATCTTCATACAAACCCTCTGGAGACCCGGGACAGGCGCCTCGGACTGCTACCACCCATGGATAGATCTTCTAATGATGCTGGCCGACTCATTGGCGAACATCCATTATCGACTCTTGCAAAGACGCGTCTGGATGTGTTCCATAGAGCGTTCTCGTCCGATAACCTCACCCCATCCTCCATCGAAAGTCTACGCAAAGCCATACGCACCGAACTTGACGCTTTCGAGTCCATCAAGTCACAATTGGCCGAAGTGCTCAATGCCTCCTTGCCCATTGCTTCTCTCCCTACTGAGGTTCTGTGTGCTATTTTCGAACTCGTCGCGCGGAACCATCGTCCGCGTGGTCCTATCCTCCGTGAAAGGATTGATGTTGGGCACTCATACCCGTCGGGCAACGAGATGGCGGAGCCCGACTGGCTCCTCGGACAGGGCGGTCGCCTCGGGTGGATTTCCCTAAGTCACGTCTGCAGAGCATGGAGACGCGCCCTTCTGGCTCATACTGCGCTGTGGGCCGATGAGCTCGGCTCTCTACCCGATGCATTTGACGAAGTACTGGCCAGATCAGGCGATCTCCCGCTGACGCTGCGCACGTATGGGTCAAGCTATCGCGATTCCTCGCCCTCTTGGCGAGCACTCTTACGCCAGGACGTGCATTGCCGCGTGCAGAAGATCCATTGCATAGAGACGCGCCATCGGGCCTTATTTGGGCAAGCCTACGCTGCCTTGACGAGTTGCCATTTCCCTATCCTAGAGACTCTCAGTCTCACGGCAAACGATCCGGCTGCCAAGGAAGGCGTGACGCTTCCCATGGTTTCTGCTCCCCAATTACGCGAGCTGGAACTCATCAATACTTTCATACCCGTCTCTTCTGAGAATATAGAGAGTCTATTCTGCGAGTTGACGTTCGAAGAGGATGGGCAGCACTCGATCGCAAGCCGCGGCATGATGCGTCCTGGAGACCTGTCGTACCTGCTCAATCGCTCCAGAGACACACTCTCGGCCATCACGCTGGAGTTGTGCATCCCAGGACGGCTCGCGAACTGGCAGACGCCAAAGCGCATATTTTTACCTAAGCTTCGGACCTTGACTGCCAACGGATTGGAGGATTACAGTGGCTTGATCGAGCCTGACATCGTGAACTTCATGGAAGGTTTAGCTCTAAATCTCAATGATGAACTCTCTTTGGTGATCGGTATCTATGCTTATGGGCACGGTGGACGGGGCATTACTACCTACAAAGAACGTATCAGAAGCGCCATGGCGTCTATCAAGGTCCTGAACCCCAACGCCTTGTCTTGTGTCGCGGCGGAGGGGCCGGAGAACCGGACCTACACCCACAGTGTGCAACTTATGCTGTACGATCTTGCCGCATCGGACGGTCAAGACCCGACCACGATCGAGGCCATCAAACACGGACCTCCATTGGCAGCATCACTACACTCTCGCCCGCGATTGCACTTCAAGACATCCTGCGATCAATATGATCTGCGGGGTGTCGCGTTTGCGGATTTCCTGGATCCCATCGGCCAGGGTATATCCATCGCGAACATCGGAACGGTCGTCTGTGGCGGCTCTCTTGCATTCGACGATATTTACAGGCTCTTGCGACTTTGTACCGGCTGCCATACACTTCAGCTCGTCAACGCGCACAGGACAGGCACAGCGAGATGTATGCAGGCGTTGGGAGGGATCGCGCCCACAGACTTCTTGCCCCGTCTTCGTCACCTTTCCCTCACATACTGCGCTCTCGCGGACCGATTCTCGCGTGTAACATCGCCTCGCGTATCGCTGAGCGAGCTTGTCCGAGGCCTTGCCAGGCGGCACGAGAGAGCGGCGGGTTCAGGTGGAATGCCTTCGACGCTTACTATCGACGCGTCCGTTATCTTTGCTGAAGAGGAGAGGGAAGTGGAAGCGATGATGCTTGCATTGAAGGAGTTGGTACCGGAGGTTGATTGGCGTCGTGCTTGACATGACGGGCAGAGGATGAGTCGATGAGGGCGCGAAGTTCACAATGTTGACGTGGTTTCCTTGATAACATAGTTGTGTCCTACAATTAGCAAGTTGCAATATAAGCCTCGGGCCTCTGTATTCTCAGTCATTGGATTAAAGCCGTGCTTGAGCAAAGCATGCATGCACCCCCAGTACAACAAGATCAAGATCATACAACTGAGCGGCAACTACCCCCTCTTAGCAGCATGCCTCCTCGACTTGCCCAACCTCTGCGCCCCACCCCGCCCACCACCGCCC